CTTGACATTGGCTAAATGCACAAGCCGTGCGAAGCCATTTAGGAAAAAAAAAGTAAAATGCAACGAGAGTTGTGGCTGTATTGGCAATTTAAATATCCTTGTAAGATCGTACAGAGCTCTAAGTATGCCAATTTCATTTGGTTGGTTTTTACGACTCACAATTTAGTAGACACATTCAAACCTGAAAAAAACTGAAATCTTGCCCATCATCATCAGCCTATTAATGTCCCCACTGCTGGGGCACAGGCCTTCCCTATGGTTGGAATAGGGAGATTGGGCCATGTCCCACCGCGCGGGCCCAGTGCGGATTGGTGGGTGCTAACGACTGCAGATGCAGCCGGGACCAACGGCTTAACGTGCCTTCCGAAGCACGGAGGAGCTCGAGATAGTAAATTTTTGGTCACCCATCCAATGACCGACCACTACGAAAGTTGCTTAACTTCAACGGACGCAGCCGAACGCGCTAACCACTTGGGCGAACTAGCTCCTCAATCATATCTTGCCCATCAAAACATAATAAAGAAAGTGTTACATAAAAGCCGAGATGCAAACGAAATCAAAATATTTACCGCGTAGGTACGTACCTATTTGATCAACAAAACGAATCCGTAAATTCCTGCTCACGAATACCGACAAAATTTATTCACAATCATTCATTTGTGTCTACATGTATGTAGGTTACGTCTGTATATTGTTCGTGTAGTGAGTGTGTAAAATAAACAATACATAATTTCTTGAGTTTTCGCGCCAACTGGGCCGATTTATTCGCGCCCCGCCGATATTTACGATTGCTGTTTGTTTTATTATCCACCCGACCGTGCGTTCTGAAAAGGCCGTGAATTTATTTTACCATAACGATTGTCGATACAGATGTGTATTGTTAACGGTCATTATTCATCGCAGGTGACATCAGTAGGGTTTTTTTTCAGTACTCATTCCCAAAGTTGGTAGCTCCAATGTGGAAATTTGGAATTTTAAAATTTCCTCCAAAATGGCATATCAATACCCCAATCTAACAATTTTGCCGTGACGGAAAAAAGTTACACTTTCTCTTGCCTAGCCCCCATTTCGTTCCAGTAGTGTCGTACGTCATTGTCCGAAATCGGTAGAGCTGTCCATTGAAAACGGTATATTTGTATCCAAAATCGTTATATGCCAAAAAATACGATACTAAATAAAATTCGTTTATTTATCAAACAAAACCTTACAGACTAATTTTCACGTATCTTTTTAACCGATTACAAGAAAGAGGAGGTTCTCAATTCGTCAGTATATATGTATATTTAATGTTGTTTGCGCATATTTCCGATAATCAATTGTCAGTTATAGTCCTTTATAATTTGTTGGTGTGTCATAATTATTATAGCAGAAAAATAACATAATAATTTATTATAGCATCGCGTTATGATACTATGTAAATATCTCACCTTTAGCAATAGACTAATCATCCATACTTACTGTTGAATGGTTCCCTGTAACGTTAAAAATAAATGGAGAGGTCTGCGCTGAAAGTTAAAATCGGTAGAATAATCGGGAGAATTTCCATGTATTATACGAGATTATATATACGAGACCACTACTTCGTGCCAAAAAAAAGATTGTCATGCAAACAAATCAGGTGAGTAAAATTTTGTAAGAGCACAAAAAATCTTAGAAAAACTGTAAAATCTGTATGTGCGCTAATAGCTTTGGATAAGGAATAACCATTAACACATTATTGAGTATTGTTGAGTTCATTTATGAGACATAAACTAGCTCGTAAGAAACATAATTAAATTTCTATCGATCATAAACATGGTTGGACACAAATTGGGTACAATTTCATTGCATTAACAAAATCGATCGAGTAGAATCATAACAACACTAAATTTAGAGGCAGGGCATAGCGGATTTCCCGCTCGAATAGGAGCTCCCGTCTGGGCAAGTAACCTTACAGAAGACCACACTAAAGGCGCCGTAGTATTTTTTGCCTGCGTATAAAAAAAGGGTCTAGTCTAGATGGGGTTACCAGGCCTAAAAATGCAAAATCCTGTCTAATATGTCTAAAAATCCTGATTTTGAAAAAAAAATGTCCAGTCACGCACCTGGATTAAATAAAAATCGTAGTATTTATGTACTTATATTATTTAGACCCATATTTTTGGTTGCTAGCAAAAATCAGAAAAAGTACGCCTCTGCATCTACTAGTGTTTCTTGTAGCTCTTTCCATACATATACTGCTTTTGCAGACGGGCCATTAGCTTGTTTGCCACACTTTTAACATTAAAAAGACTGTATTAAGCTTTTGATGCAATGACATTTAATGTATTTGCTCTGATCATGACATGTTTAACTGTAGCTTACTTTCTTTCAAGAATTCTTTGTTAAAAATTTGTGCTGAACACTAAAAATTATAAAACTAAAGTTATTCCCCTTCTCTGCAAAGCCAATATTGATTGAGGTGTTTGTGAAGTTAAAATATTTAACTCAGTTGTATATATATATTTTAAGATATTTTAATTTTTTGTTCGATGTCTATTTAAGTATGTAAATGTTATGCACAATTGTAATTGGGCACAGGCATGCCCACAGTTTTTTCATATTTTTTTTTGTCTGATGCCTGTTATTGTACCATTATAAAAAAAAATAGGCAAGTTATACGCCAACATTATTGCATTCTTAAAATGGCGAAGTATAGCCTTGGCGAGAGAGCGTGCCCGACTGACTGTAAGGCGTTGAGCAGACGACGGGGCGGGGCGGACATTTTGTCCGCGAAGCAATAAAGACCGCGTCTGCCCATCGATGTCTGCGGCTGCCCGCGCCGCGTACACAAAGCACACGACGGGCAGAGGCGGTCAGTTTAGGACGTTCGTTCTAGTGAATAGTCCATGACCGCCCCGCGCCGCCGTCTGCGTTACTGCATATAAACTGGTTTGTATGATCCACGGCGGGCAGCCGCGGTCATGCCGCGCCGCCACTGCCCGCCGGGCACCCAAGGCGCGGTCTTTTTGACCGCTGTGTGCGTTTGAAGTATAGGATTCACTTTGTGCTATTATTCGCGGCGAAATTGACCGGCCCGCCCCGCCCTGTCGTCTGCAAAGCGCCTAAGTCGGCAATAATACCTGATTCGTGTTGCCAAATTAGAAGCATGTATGACGTATCTATCATATGTCTTAGGATTCCACTTTTTAGCGAATATTCTATGCAAGAAAGCTTAAAAGACCTAAGGAGATTTGTTTATATTTTTTCTCTTTATATATCTCTTTAGTAGCACCAGTATGTTAACTTGAATTAACCACGTAAAGATTCTTATAATCGGCATCGTCTTATCTCTTATCTATTAGACAAGTCCGTCCGTCCGTCTGTCTGTGGTGCTGTTTCAGCGGCCAAACCGTAAGAGATAGATAAAGAGAATGTTTAAGTTATAAGTTAAGAATAGTCTGATAAGACTACAAACCGGATTTGAGTAACGTAGCACTTCCGGTTTTCGAGAAATCACGAATTTCAAACGAAACCACACAAAATCTCCGAAGTTCTCAAATAATTAAACTAAATAATTTCAAACGAAACCACACAAAATCTCCGAAGTTCTCAATTAATTAAATACATTTTTTAAATCAGGTTTTGGTGAACATTTGGTTCACTGGTTTGCTAGTTTTGAATTAATAGTCAAATTGGCCAACTATAAAACGTCATAGTTTTGATATATATAATGGAAGGTGATTTCAGAATTATCCATGAGGTCATTTTTCAACTTGACGAGTCTCTTTATAATAATACAGGGAGAAAAAAAACAGTCCATGCTGAGTTTCTTGCCGGTTCTTCTCAGTATAAGGTCTCCAGCAGTAGTTTTGCGAACCGATGGCATAGCTTCTCGACTTTCACAAGTGCTTGTAACAGCCTACACTGAATAAAAGATTTTTTATTTTGATATCTAATAGAAAGAGCCTGCCTGTCTGTTTGTATGGATGTTTACGATGATCTCAAAAACTATCGAACGGACTTTAATGTGGATTTCACCATTTCGCTTTCATTCGAGACCCATATCATGGAAGTGCATAATAATTACTAATCCGCCATCGTGGATCATCCGCCATTTTGGAATTAGAATGACGTCACTAAGATAACCTAACCTAACCTAACCATGCCACCGTTACCGTTAATTTTGAAATGCAATCACTTGTGCATGTAAAATTTCAAATCAACCGGTTGCGGATAACTGATAACTGCCTCAAAGCAGTTCTTTCTACATTGCAAGATTCCATACCAATAACTACATTAACAACCTTTAAATATAACTAGAATATTCCGCGTGGATTTTTTTTCTAGTTATATATTTTTTTAGATTTAAACATCAAGCAGTTACATGCTTTAAAAAGTAAAAATTATAACTACAATTGCTATTTCATCTTTCAAATGTTTAATACTTGTAAAAGTATTCATTTGACATTGTGGGTTACCTATAATGCGAAGGGATGGCACTGCCTTGCAGCTTAAGAATGGCTAGAGAAATTTCGACGCGGTCCGTGAGGGCCGCGGTAGCATAATTGGTCAGTGCATTCGCCCGGATTGCGAAGGGTCCCGTCTGCTGCCTGGTCCGCGTGGATTTTTTTCTAGTTATATTTTCTTTAGATTTCAACCTTTAAATACCTTATTGTTCGCGCCCGTATAAACCTCACATATACATACATATAAAAGAAAAGGAATATTACAAATCATAACGAAAAATTGCACTTATATAACGGATGGCGCCATCTATTGGATGTTACACCGGAGCGCTCTTAGCACGAGCGTCATTGGTTGTCGCCCGCAGATAGCAGATGTCGCTCGTGTTCGTGTGTTCGGCTGGTTTTTACCGACTATAATGTCATGACTTTGCTAAATTCATTCTGTCAAGAAAACTGTTACTGCTAAATTGTATCTATTGTAACATAAAGCGAAATTACTAAAAAACACCGAGTTTTTACTAAAGAAGACTCCATTCTATGCCCAAACACTTATAAATAAAGGAGAACACTTACCTAATAGACTAAGACTCGCGATCCAGCTGGCCTGCTGATCGCTGACCGGGAAACTTTCTGGCACGTTGGCCTCCTGCATCGACGATATAGCGGGCGACATGTAGCCTTTGCTCAGGCCCGCTGCGAATGGCCCCAGAGATACCGCTAGTGCTGCTAAGATCTGTTGAAAGAAAATGCTAATAATAGGGGTGATGACGGGGTACAGTAAACGAAATTCTATTTAGTCCGTCAGTTAGATGATCAAAAAATAATGGACACGTATTTTTTCTTTGGGCAATCAACCAAAAAATGACAAAGTTATAGCGCGTCAAAGTTTGGGAGTAGGGGCTGGTGACGTCACTTTTGAGTGAATTTTCCTTTATAAGTGTACTCAAACGTGACGTCATGCGACTTTTCAAATCAATATATCTCTGCAATGCTTATATTATGTGAAAAAAGAAAAAATACGTGTCCAATACTTTTTGATAATCTACCCGATAAACGAAGAAAAAAAAATTAGTCATCATCCCTATTACTATTATATTATTATCAACAAGCATCAGTGATTTGATACAGGCAGGCTGGACTCCCAGCCAAAGAAGGATGTTTCATTAATGATATTAAGTGATTGCATCGTAACTCTAAGTCTAACTCTTAAACATTCCTAAACTTTGTTAAACAAGTTTTTTATATTTTTTTATTTTATAGTCATAATTTTTATTACATTTTTAATGGAAAGTGACTTCATGAGTTACCTCATATTGAAGTCATTTTTCAATTTGACGACTCTGTATATAATACAGGGAGAAAAAAACAGCCCTGGCTGAGTTTCTTGCCGGTTCTTCTCAGTGCAAGGTCGCCCGCCGTAGATTTGCGAACCGATGGCGTAGCTTTTCGACATTCACAAGTGCTTGTAACAGCTTAGACTGAATAAACGATATTGATTTGATTTGATTTGAATTGATTTAAGTTCGGGAGTACGACGCATACTTGGCCGTTTTTTTTCAACAAGCTAACGCCACGCATTTTTATCTCTAAAAATGCATTTTTTATCTATTGTTGGTGGAAATTTTGCAGTCGTGCATATCAAATATCAATTAATATTGATATTGGTTTTAGATAAGATATCAGCATTAATTATAACTTCGATTAAAATCATGGTGAAAATAATAGGTAACACAGGGTTGCCAGAAGTCTGAACAGGAAAGTTAGTAGCTGTCGCATTCTATATATTTTCTTCCGTTCCGAATCCATCATGGTGGATCAAAAATAAACACGCTGTGCATACCCAAAAAGTGTTTCATTAGACTAATAATCTAAACAAAAAACGATAAAATTTTAACAGCTGCCGTAAATCGTAAATTAACACACCATCCAGCGGCAGGTACAAAGATATATGTCGCGGGAACATAGTACCTAATATGTTATATGAACAGGACGCAACATGTCCACAACACGAAATGTTCCGAATCGATCAATGTTACGAACACCATGTGCCTGTGTGAATGGTGGCTCAGTGCTGGGACACGCAAAGGGACTAGGATCTATCGATATCGATAGTTAGGGATAACTTCTTTTATTTAAAGTAAGATGCTATGTTTATGATACATATATGTATATTAAATTTTGTACGTCACTTTTTCTTAATCTCTTTACTAAACTCTCGAATAACTTTATGTGTTAAGCACAAAGTAGGTAGCTGCCGCGTCCAAACAGAGAGTCAGCTTAGAAGAAAACATTTGTTACGTTTACAGGCATTCTCACACAGTTTCAATCAGAAATAATTTGCGACTAGCGTGTCAAAATTAATAGCGTTAAGTTTGATGTCATTTCGAGGATGGCGGAAGCCGTCTGTCAGGCTACTTTCTATTCTGAGTTAAATTGAGTGAGATTTACACTACTATAAAACCGATTGTTAAATCTTTTCCAGTTCGATTAATTTAATGTTTCCTCGGTTAAATAATAAAATATGTTTTTAGACAATTCATATATGATAGAGTTCTAGTAGTTTAATTCCCACTTAGATTGAAACGCGCGCCCTCGGGAAACATCCTTCACCATACAAATAACTGGTAGCTATGAAACTTAGCTCACAGAGGCTTTCCATAAAAAGTTTGCAACTTTATTAACATAGACTTGACTATGTTGCACCTCCTAAAGGCCTAAACAGACTTTTGAAACGCTACGAGTGTTAAGTCAAATCAAATGTAATATTTTCTATGATCAGAAACAGAGAACAACTGACGCGACGCGATGCGCACACACTAATCATAAAAAATACGCGTGGCGTGGTATTGGGTGGCGTCGCTTTCAAAAGTCTGTTTCGGTCATAATTCGTCGCTGCCGTTGAAAAAAACATTCACAGAACGTAATCGACCGAAACATCGATAAAATGAACTGTTACATCAGTACCCACTCTATCCAAAAGCGCTCCCTAGATTGTATACAGCATTTCGGCTGGGGTCAGCGACCAGCACACTGCCTTACATTCCGACTTGGAAACAATCATATGTGTTTAAATAATCTTTCAACAATTCCGACCTTATTTCTCTCGTAACACGGATGATGTGATACGCAGAAAATTTTCTGGTACACAGTTCATATAATAGACTTTATGTCACACGGAAAATTAATGATAGTGAGGAGCTGTAAGAGTCATTTTGTATCCTGGTATGTAATGTGAGGAGTGATATATTAATGTCACTTTCAGTAGATAGGTAACTACTTTAAAAATATATATATATATAAGGAAACGACTCTTATTCGATGTGACTATAAGAGCGACCACATAACGCAGAAAGAGGTTCAAGGGGCCTTGTAGGCGCTATGCCCATAACTTGACCGAAGCTTGGTTCTGATTGCACCGTTGCTCTCGGGTATGAGCACTGATTGGTTCGATTGTTTATGGTCGCGTCATTTGATTGGCTATTATCTATTAGGTGCAAGTGTAGTGGGGGCGAGCCGGCGACATCGTTACCCGTTTAAACGGTTTATGATCACCCTACTAACCTCTTTCTGTGTAATGTGGTAATAAGCCTACCAAGCAGCCCTTGCTCAGTTTCTTGCCGGTTCTTCTCAGTACAAGGTCTAATAGAGAATGATTTTTTAAAGCTATGGTATAAGCTATGGTAGCCGCTTTCCATCAGGCGAGCTATAAGCTTATTTCCACCCTTTTAACTTAAAAACAAGATATCTTCAACTGACCTGTCTTCTGCAGCTGCCCCTCCCATCTGTGGGTCTCATCATCATAATCCTGGTCTCCGGAGTAATGTTCGTCATTTTACCACTAAGCACCGCCTTCTCACACATAAACACTGGTTTCTCCACAATTATACCACTGACAATAACACTCCTCGACGAATTATACTACCGCCGATTGGACTTGTCGCCGAATTATACATGCGACATTTCTTAGTACACAATTAAAATTTTAGATTTCTTTATAATTCAAAGACTAGAGGAAATACACTTCACTATTTCACTTTTATTTTGATGATGGCGACCATTGTTGTTACCTGTAACAATAAAAAAATATGCATCAGATTTTATCTTATCACTATAATAATATTACCCTACTTATGGCGCTTTTACACTTGGTCGCTAGCCCGAATACGATTGCCAATGGAATTAAACTGCATAGTTCCCCTATTTTATTTTATTTATTCGGTATACATAACATATTACAATCAACAAAGTACTGACTTATAAATAACTAATGGCCCGCCCTCGCTTCGCTTCGGTGTAGAGCTGTAGTGTAAACTATAGGTTTTTGTTCTCAGGCTTGTGCTATAAAGAATGACTTTATTTATATAATTACACGTGTTATTGTGAGTCAACCATAAAAGATAGACATATGCTGTTGCGGGATATTTTTTAGACAATTTTATGTAGAATATTTCCGTCATACATGATTTCTATGTAACTTTAACCATTAATGCTGCACACGCGACGGAAGCTTAAAAAATAGAGTAACTTCTCCCGTTTTCCCAACATTTCCCTTCACTACTCTGCTCCTATTGATTGTAGCGTGATGAAAAGTATACTATAACCTGTCCAGGAGTATGAAGAATAATTGTACCAAGTTTCGTTAAAATCCGTTGAGTAGTTTTTGTCTCTATAAGGAACATACACACAGACAGACAGACAGACAGACAGACAGACAGACAGACAGACAAAAAATTTACTGATTGCATTTTTGGCATCAGTATCGATCACTAATCACCCCCTGATAGTTATTTTAAAAATATATTTCATGTACAGAATTGACATCTCTACAGATTTATTATAAGTATAGATTGACGAATCGATCAAGATTGCAACACTTAACATGCATACACAAAAAAAAATAGTTATACCTATAAAACAAAGAACACTACATCGATATCAACTGTTACATTGCATTTAATTAAATTCATTCAAATAAAATCAAATTGAATACTATAAATTAGATAAAATTAATTACAATTGATTTAAATATATAACCACATTAAAGAAATTATATTATATTACAATAAAACCAAAACATTAGCAAATCAATCACTTTAAGTTTATGGAGCAGCGCACGCATCATTCATAATATATATATATATATATATATATATATATATATATATATATATATATACTAGCGGCCCCCAGCGGTCTCTAGTCTAAAGGTTTAAAATTGACAAAGTTTCATACAAACTTTCGTTCCCTATCAAATCATCATCCTTTCTTATCCTTTCCGATCAAAATCCTTTCTTAGCGGATGCCTACGTCATAACATCTACCTGCATGCCAAATTTCAGCCCGATCCGTCCAGTGGTTTGGGCTGTGCGTTGATAGATCACTATGTCAGTCAGTCACCTTTGAGTTATATATATATGTATTATCACGTGTGACGCTCATTACGCTCGTAGCGTTTCAGCCTTCGCCGAGTTACCCTCCAACTTTCATGCTCGTATGGAAGAGCTGCGCATGCATCCTACACACAAACACATATATATCGCTCGTGACGTATTACCGTTTCATCTTTACCATAGGATTTTTCCATTTACACCCCGTCCCAAAAGAAGTTTCAGTTCAAAAAGCATGTCGTGATTAATGGACGAATCCTAGATAGCTACATCGTCTTTAACTGTACTTTTAATCAAACACTTCTTTCTTTATTTTTGCTCCCAACTTACCACTCAAAATAATCATTAAACATAGGTGTCATTCGGGAGCACTAGCTTCGGTCCCGAATGCCGCCTCAAAATAATTTATTAATTCCATGTCCCCATCAGGACCAGTGGTCCCGGTCCCAAATGACTATCGACTCATCACATACAGCTGTCGCGAAAGATCATTCTCTCACTGTTGATGCCACACATGTTCAAAGCAGTTTTCGGCCCATTTAAAACCTAAAACGTCCAATCACACTAATAGTATAAAGGCGAAAGTTTTTGAGTGTGTATGTGTGTTACTTCTTCACGTCTAAACGGCTGATGCGATTTTAATAAAATTTGTTATGGAGTTAGCTGACTCCCTGGATTAACACATAGGGTACGTTTTACTGCGTGAAAATATCTCTAATAAACCGCAGGTAACACCGCGTGGCACAGCTAGTTGTAAATATATGGAAGAGGGTCAAATTTAAGAGCCTGTAAAGGCTACGAAACGTCAATAAATAAATAAAGTTTCGTGCATTAACCCGTAAAAAACTAGTTTCATTTAATGAGTGATGTGCGTGAAAACCTAAGAAACAAATATATGGAATATAGTGGTTATAAAATCCAATAAAAATTTAGAAACTGTCTCGTCGGTACGTTGAGGTATGTTATGACGCTGTCTTTCCTTTTATAATTTCCTCACAAAGAAAGGATTACTTTGTTTGTGGGATTGGCACCACCACAAATTGCAGTGTATTTAGTGCAAAGTTCTTTTGATTATTCCATTATTTACCACCTTAAGAAGAAAAAACCGGCCAAGTCGGACTCGCTTACCGAGGGTTCCGTACAAACTTGTAGGCATATTTTAATAATTATTTAAAAAATAATATTATATGTTGTAACTAAAAGTTAACGGTTTTCACATTTTTTCCTTTATCTATACAATAAGATGTTACTTCGTACCAAATTTCAAGATTCTAAGTTCACGGGAAGTACGATGTAGGTTTTGATTCCCATGCGAGTTTCGAAAATTTGCGGAAATTTGCGGCGTAAACGGTTGTATCTTTTGATTGCTTTGGCTTAGAAGTTTGATTTTTTCACAGCTCCAAGGGACAGTAGACATGAGTATTAGATATGAATTTCAGGTTGATACCTCCACGCGTTCCTGAGAAAAACGGTCTTGACAGACGGACGGACGGACGGACGGATGGACAACAAAGTGATCCTATAAGGGTTCCGTATTTTCCTTTTGAGGTACGGACCCCTAAAACTGAAAGTACAATACGAAAGTAAACATTGCGCACAACACAGCAGGAAAACTCAATTGACATTATTGCACTAGGGGTGGTCCCATAGTTCATCAAATATGATGGAGTTTATTTTCTCCGTAGCTGGTCCTATTATTTAACTGCTGGATATTTAAATCCAAAGAAAAATTTACAAATTTTCTTTGGATTTAAATATCCAGAATTTTGTCTAGTATTTCTGTCAGGCTGCAAGGCAGTGCCATCCCTTCGCATTGTACGTATATAATTAACAATCTATCTACACCCGAGACAAACTCTAAACTTAATCAACTAACACACCCACCCACACACATACAAACACACATACACACACACACACACACACACACACACACTAACACACACCCTCACATACATACACACAAATAAGACACAAACACGCAATCAATTTCTGTTTTAATATTAAATTAGGCCTAAGATTAAAATTAAAGTTATTGTAGCAAAAATTGTTTTCTGGAGGTGGGCGTTAATAACTGCGACGCAGTTTTATAACTAATGCAGTTATTATCGATCACTATTTTCATTGTATCTTTGTTATGGTTTTAATAAATATTTCATTTCATTAAAAAAACTTATAAAACGCATGTTAATTTATTAAACCTCAGCAAAGTCAGTAAACAAAAGAAAAGCCACAAGTACTAACCTCAAACTCAAAACCAATTTATATTTAGCGCTCTAACAAACCTTCACTTCAGTGTTCACACTAAATTATACTTATTTGAATATTGACCACCATATACTTTCGCTATGAAGCCAGAATACAGACTGAGATCATCGGAGATGTCATAGAAATACGTCAAAACAAGCAATCATGAAGATGATTACAGTTGAACGAATGACAGTAGAGCATATCGTGACAAATGTTGAGTTGCGTGTAAACAGAAGGGCCAATGCAGTGGTTAGAGGAGTTCGAATTTTAACCCAAATGTTATTGTGATAAGAATTTTAATCGGGTGGGGCAAATTTTATAACTGAATAAACTATATAATTAACGTGTATTGACTTTTTAAAATTATGTATTCATAAACAATGGATGGAGCATAAAACTAAAACAAAAATTTTTAGAAACCGGATATTATGAAGATGATCTCATTCTGTAAATGATTAATATTAGAATTACTGTTAGTTTTAATCAGAAATTTAGTTTTTCTTCTTCCTTAACCGAGTACTATTGCTAAGAATTTTGTGTACACCTATAAAAAGTATATATGTAAGAAAGCACCTAGTAATAGTGAAAAGTTTTATGTAATGTGATAATATATATACTGTTGGTGAACCTTTTTAAATAAATAAGATTGTTTGTGACATAAACCTTTATTAATTTTGTTTCAATAAATTCCAGGCGTAACGTAGCATAACCGATGTGTCAAAATTTATAAAAAAATTAATTTACACTAATAAATTATAATTTAAGCGCGTTATCGAGGTAAATTGTAATGTAAATCAACAACAACACATACACACAAAGTCAACAGTCCTTATCACGCTTTACAAGGAGTGAAAAGGACAGACAGGTGTCAAGTTTACAATAGCAAACAGCATTAACCCAGTGAAATCTCGACATTATGCGACTACCAACTTACAAAATATAACAGCTAAAGTACTTATATCGATATTTCAGTTATTAATATTGATAGAGTCTGTGCGGAAAGAGAATGGGATTTAGATTGGAGGGCGCTGTAGTGCTTTTCTACCGTATTTGTAAGGTTTTACCCCTTTTAGACATGATTAAATTCAAAAAACCGCAAGAAATCACAACAACAAACAAATCCGTATCAATACAAAACTTTGACGTTTTACAGATAGCTGGGTTTGATTGCCAAATAAAAATCTTAATGGTAGTTCCGTTTTTCGCCACGCCCATTCTCTACTTTATTATTAAATTTAAGGTTCTTTATAGCAATTAGCCTGATTTTTACCCGATTTTTTTCTACTTTGATAGACAAGGTCAAACACTTGGGTACCGCGGTGTAAACATTAGAACAGGCTTTTGAAAGTATTTTTAATCTCTGAAGCAAAAATTTAGTTTTTGCTCTACTGTTTACATTATGCACTGTGGTGAAAAAACACTAGCGAGCA